CTTAAGTTGGTGAGAATAATTAGAAGGGCAAAACGGTCATTTATCCTATTACCTAATTATAGGATCTCGGACAGGAATAAAATACGTATACTACAGGTCAGAGAAAAGTATTACAGATTTATTGACTTCTGTGATCTTATATATTCCAAAAGTTCAGTTTTTTGCCTTTTGTGAAAAAAGTAAAAACTAATAATTAAATTGGGTGATCTAAGGTCGACTAGACATGATTTAATTATTGGAGCTTGGATAATATATGTTCGATCAGGTCCCTATGATAGCTACATAAAGTATTGAAACTTAATTATGGTAATTATAATGGTTTTGGGCTTAATTGTAATTATTATGAAAGTTGTAAACTTAATTATAATTGTAATTGAAGTTCTAAGACTACATATATAATTAAATGTAAACTAATTGCATTTTGAATTTATTTAAAACTCCTACTTGGATTTTAATTAAAAATCTTATTTCAATGTGAAATTATTATTGTACAAGGATTGTAATTATTATTTCTCTATAAATAGAGACTAGATGGAAACTAGATATCCTATGAATTTGTACAACAATCATAATACATATTTTTATGGTGTTCAAATTTGGAGAGAGAGAAATTAATTATTTTCTCATCTTACTCAATTGTCTAGTTCAAGAATTAGTTTCTTGATTTAATTAAAAGAATATGCCCACTCACCGATACAGTCTTGACTTTAGATAATACCATAAAAGACTTGGAGGTTTGAAATATAAAGTTCTTGAAATTAAAAAGCTGAAAATACATTATCCAAAAGACCAAAAGTTCGTGATTCAGAATTAATTCAAAAATTTGAATAATTTATGCTGGATATAACATAGATGTGAACATCTAACTGATATTGTTTATTAAATTAAAGAAAATTTGTAAATTTTTAGATAATTCTACTTTTGCATTCAAACCATTTTTCCTAATAATTGTTAGATTTAAATTTAGAGTTTAAGTGAATTATTATTAAAATTTAATGACTTTATTGGTAACTGGCCTAGTCTAATGATCTTATTGGTTAATAGCCAACAGTTTGAGGATTTAAGTGGAAAGTTATTTTAGAATTTAGACTAAATTATGTGTAAAACATATGTAAATATGCCAATTAGTCTTGATTAAATATGATTTATTGACCACATGTATTATTCACACTATATTTTAAGCCAATGTAATTGATTTGACCACGTAATTAAATGAATTGATTAGACCATTTTCATGACAATACACTATTTAAGCATTAACCATGCCTAACATATAGCCATTTCTACACATGGTCAAGAATTTACATTATAAATAGGAGACAAACTCAACACTAAACTATTCTCAACAACTATTTACAATCTCCCTCTCTACCTCTATAACTTTGTCTCTCCACCTCTCTTTCTCTTATCATTTTAAATATAGTCATAAACTTATACAATCACACATGAATAATCAACCCTACAAACGGCTCAAGGATCTCTTTCCAACAATAATTGCTTTTATCATTTTGAATTGTTTAGTGAAAAGGTAAGTAGTGCTTTATGTTTATGGTGGCTAATGTTCGTGTATGTAATATTTCTATGGCTATATTATGTTTTGGTCCATGTTACGTATATTTTATTAAGAGTGAACTGGAGTGTAGAAGCCCTATGCACAAGAATTTAGCATCATATAAGTTTAGTCTAATTTTCGTGTCTCACTATACAAATTATGAATTTTTCGTAGAAATACATATATAAAATCATTATCCACACAAGTTTATTGAAAATTATTCTCACCCCATTATGTCTCTACTTTCAGATAATTAATGATTCAAGACGCTCGGCAAGGAGATGGCTTATGGTGGTAGAAGTTTCAATAATAAAATTATTGCGTTGTCAAACTATTATTATTTTCATTTGATAAGATATTTCAAGTTAACTTACTAAATGCGTTACATTAATTGAATTTAGTAAGTTCTTTAATAGTTTATATAATAATGTTGAATATCACTTAAATTAATTTTAGCTTATGATTTAGTGACACTCGAAACATTAAGGAATCGGGCCGTCATAGTTGGTATTAGAGTGGGTTTACTTTCCAATAGTCTCAGATAAAAAATAAAAATTATTATTATTATTATTATTATTATTATTATTATTATTATTATTATTATTATTATTATTATTATTATTATTATTATTATTATTATTATTTGCTTTGCAAGAAATTTTACAATTCAAATACTATTCTTCAAATTATTAATTCAAAAATAAGTATTAGTTTTAAATAAATAAGTTTTAATAAGAAATAAAGGATTTCTTGCACTCAAAGGCATACTCCAAGTTGTCATCCTCAAATCAGGTATCCCATAAGTTTCATCATTATACATAATATCTTTAGTTTATATGCACATATGATTATGTTAGTTATATAAGAATGCAATTTATGAATGCATGAATAAATAAGATTTACTATAAAAATTAAAAATATCACAAGTTAATTGTTTACATGTAGCAGCATAAAATATTAAAAAGACATGTCACGTTCTTATTGAATTATAGTATTCAAAATGATATAAATAATTATGTTATATACATTATGTTATTACTTGGATTCAATTGTTGAAAACTATAGCAAAGGAATTTAGATAGCCTTTAAATTAGGACATGTCAATTAGGAAATAATAATAATAATAATAATAATAATAATAATAATAATAATAATAATAATAATAATAATAATAATAATAAATCTCATATTTTAGCCACTTTTGGTTTTCACGTATTTCTAAGTTTTATTTATTTATTTATGTATTTGCAAGATTGAAAGACTTTATTAAAAAGACTTAAACTGTTAAAGAAAGCTTGGGATTTAAGCAGTCCATTTGTGAGCCACCCCCTTCTCCTGGAAGTCTTTTAGATGAGCGTTATTCAAATCAATAAGACAAAAACAATATTGAAAAGAAAATTTTAAGTTTAAAAAAAAATTCTATTTTCAAAAACTTTTAAGAAAATTTTATTTTAAGAAATATCTACTCCAAATATTCCTATAGAATCCCATTTCAAGAAATCCTCCTTTTAAAGAAACTCTTTTTTTTTTTTTCAAGAAACTCCAATTTTACAAATTTATTCATAATAGTAGCAGTAGTAGTAGTAGTAGCAGCAATGAAAAGAAATTTTCTTCCCATCTTTACTTATTGTAATATTATTCATTAAGGCTATGGTATCTTGAGATAGAAAAATTAATGATGAACAACCCCAATTTAACAAGGTCGACCCACACTTTACTCAACAATTCCTTATCGTGATGTGTACCTTCGCCTAGCAACAATGCCAGAACAACCACCACGACAATCGACACTATCACCGTCATCACTACGACGGTAACAAACACTGACAATGACAGAGGACATACATACAGAATACAACTGTTATTGTCGTGGAACTATTTAGGAAATAGCACCCTCCAACTTTTGCGGGTGGGTTAGATTCCATGGAAGCAGAAGATCGGTTGACATGGATAGAATGGATCTTCGATCTCATTGACTACCCAGACTCCAGAAAAGTTATATGCACAACATTTATGCTAAAAAAGGGCGTCATGAGCTGGTAGGACTCAACCTCAAGATCAAGGGCTCGCAAACATATGTGGACATGGAACCAATTCAAGGGAAACTTTTTGAAGAAGTACTATCCTACAAGTGTTCGAAATCAAAAGGTGACTGAGTTTATTACATTGACTCAGGGCTTGATGTCTCTTACTAATATAAGTGAAAGTTTGAAGAATTATCCCATTTTTCCCTTAGCTTTGTCGATATGGACAAGAAAAAGGTAAGGATTTTTGAACAAAGTTTAAGGGATGATCTGAGTCAGGCAATGGTAGTGCCTGAACTAGGAACCTACCATGAAGAGTTTACAAAGGCACAACTGGCAGATTTCAGGAGCCCCTCTAGTGAGGAGAACAAACAACTATATGGGCATATGGAAAGTGCAAGTGGAAAGATAACACGAGCAAAGGACAACAAAACTATGGTAAAAAAGGCAAAGAATGTAATAGTCAAAGTGACAATAAGAGCTACCTGCTTTGTAACAAATGCAAGAAACATCATCTGTGGGCTTGTCTCTTAGGGACGAACACATGTTTTCAGTGTGGGGAACAAGGGCATATGACTAGGTTTTGCCCTAAGATCCAACAAAATCAGGGAAGTGCATAGCAGAGACATGAATATATACCCAAGGGACATGCAAGAATCATTGCATTGACTGAACAGGAAGAGGATCAGGATCGTAAAATTTTGGAAGGTAACGTCTTAATATCTAACTTACATGCCTATGTATTAATCGATTATGGTGATACTCATTCCTTTATATCCTTTAAATTCACAGAAAGATTAGATGTGAATATTGTACAATATTTACCTATAGAAGTGTCTGTACTCTCTAAAAAGATGCTAAACACGGATACTATAGTTTAGGTGACAAAGTTAGAAATCGATTGTAGGTCTTTAGAGATGGAACTATAAGTAAGATTTCAACATAATTCTTGGGATGAATTGGTTATCTAAGAATCATGCAACAATTCATTGTTTCGAGAAGGAGGTGATCTTTCAAAACCCCAAAGAAGAAATCAGTGGCTAAGTGTAGGTCCCTATTCCATGTTGTATCTATTACAAGCACGATGGATCTTACAATCAGGAGGTAGTGTGGGTTTTCTTATGTCAGTAATAGACAAAAAAGGAGTTAGGAAGTTGATAGTCAGTGAGGTTAGAGTGGTACGAGAATACCCAGAAGTTTTCCCATATGACTTACTCAACATGCCACTGAAACGAGAAATGGAGTTCACGGTCGATCTTACCCCCGAAGTCATACCTATTTCTAAGACCCTATACAGAATGACATCAAAAGAGCTACAAGAACTAAAGGCGCAGATAGAAGAATCGCTAGAAAAAGGATTCATCCGACCCAGTGTGTCACAATGAGGAGCTCCGATATTTTTTGTCAAAAAGAAAGATGTATCAATGAGGATGTACATCAATTATCGAGAACTAAACAAAATTATAATTAAGAACAAGTATCCTCTTCCAAGAATCGAGGACTTGTTTAACCAAGTTCAAGGTGCAATAGTATTTTCCAAGATTGATTTATGATCAGGATACCACCAACTAAGAATCAAGACATGTGATATCTCGAAGATGGCTTCTAGGACTCGGTAAGGTCACTACGAGTTTTTAGTTATGCCATTTGGGTTGACAAATGCTCCTAGAGTATTCATGGACTTAATGAATCATGTTTTCATGATTTTCTTGATCGATTTATTATTGTAATTATTAATGATATCCTAATTTATTCAAGGAACGAAGAAGAGCATTAGGACCACTTAAGGATTGTGATGAAAATCTTGAAGAATGAGAAATTCTATGTAAAATTTAACAAATGTGAATTTTGGCTGGAACGAGTAGTGTTCCTTGGGCAAGTCATTATAGCTCGAGGAATAGAAGTTGATCTAAGCAAAGTAGAGGCAATTCTAAATTGGAGAGGCTAACCAGTCTAGAGAAATTTCACAGTTTTCTAGGTTTCGACGGATATTATTGAGGAACCCTTAACCCCCATCGACCTGTCTCAGTGGACCCTAAAATATCATTAAAAAAGTGTGGATGTTTTTATTTAAAAAAATGGCTTAACCCACTCACTAAACATAAGCCGACACTATATTTAATTAATCTAATTAATTAAACTTGGCCTATAAGTTAATTAATCAAATCAATTAACTTAAGTCCATAATAAACAATCCAATTAATTAATTATATAAATTTCCATCACTTGTCAATTAATTAATTCATAAGATCATTCTTCTGGTTCTTCCTTTTGTGTATGAGACATTAGGTTCCCAATCGCGGCGTCGGGTGACGTAAATCGTTATTTTGATCTAATTAAAAAAAAGATAAATTAAAATTTTCCTTCTATGATTTCATCTAAATTAGTTAAATTCGCATTTTTGTCCTAGATTAATATCTAGTAATGTCTCAAAGCAATATATACGAAGAAAAATATCATGTGGTGTGACCAACTAAATCTATACATTTATTGTGAAACTATAATCCTTTCATCAATTACGAGATATGAAAGTTCGTTAGTCTTGATTATCGATCATATCTTTTATCCTACTCTTAAGTAAATAATCATCGAAATAAGTTTCAACTTGCATGCTCACTTTGCCAAGAATTTCAATATCAACTTAATCGAATAAAATTTAAATCATAATCTCTTATTATCTCATAGTTACGAATCCTCTATTAGTTATTCACAACTTTCATATAATTCCTGACCTACTCAAACGATGCCAGGTTAGCATAGAAACATTTGATATCACCAAAATATGACTATTCTTATATAATGCATTATAATGACCTAAAGTTAAATGATCAATTTCACTACCGAATGTTAGAGATTAACCACTAACGCTCAGGTAGTTATCAATGTGGAATCCAAACCTTCAAATTACAAAAAAGCTGTTCAAGGATCTAGAAAACTTCTTTAAATAAATCTCCCTCCAACTTTTCAATATTTTCTCAAAGCAACCTATGATCCAATTTTTCAAATAGAAACATCTTGGATCAATAGATATTCATCCCTTGATGAAATTTTTTTTAAGCCTTTTACAAAAAAAAATTGTTTCATGCCAACCAATATAAAAAAATTTTGAGGATATTATGAAGCTAACCTTAAGAAAACAAGATCAGCTATAACTTCTCACACACCAAATGAACAAAATCCAAATAAAATTGATTTTTCAAAAATAAGTATTTAAAGGGTATTGTCATATGAAGACGGGAGACAAAATCCATGGGATGAGAAACGAATACCCCTTTCTGAAGGTGAATCATTCAAATCTTGTTTCAATTATTTTGATTACAAGGATGCTTGGTATAATATTTTTTACTTTACACCAGTGACTCATTCTTGGTTTATTCTTTTTAATCAAAATTGCAATCCAAATTTTTCAAACATGGTTCGAATGTTTTGATCTTGAAGAGAAAATTTTACCTAGTATTACTCTTCGGGGGTTTGAATACTTCAAAAGAGATACAAAACCCTTTTTGAAGTTTCAAGAAAATGTTTTGTTTCAATTTACATTCAATTTCAGAGTCTCATGGATTCTTTGCTAGGACTTCTTTGTTCTTCAAGATTCAAACTCTAAATATTTTACTCAAAAAATTATTCGTAGATTCAAAATTAAAAGGTGGTCAAAGTTCTGAGAAACAAATTGCTGTCCAAAAGCAGTACAATCATGGATTTAAGAACAAAAGAATATTAGTGTTCCAAAAATTTAAAAAAAAAAAAAAAAAAAA